TGTGGTTTTTCTTGTGAAGAAATCTACAGGTTTTCTCATACAAAGAAATGTACAGGAAATAAATTGGGCTCTCTAATTTCACTCTTTCACTTGTAGCTTAAGTTTAGGTTTGTTAAATAATCCCACTAATATTTGTGGGAACTTGGAAATCTGGTGTTAACATACTGCCTTTAAAGCCTACCTAGGACACTGTTCACATGCCATTGGCCTTTTTGAGGTTGTTCTAACCAAAGTGTCACTGTTTGTTTTCCAAGTTAACTATTTTGTTTGCTATTTTAGGAATGATTCTTCAACATTGAATATATTTCCGTAAAGTGACAGTATATCCAACTAAGATGCCTTGCCATTTCAATTCTACCAAGCGTTAAATGACTATTGGATTTAAGTAGTTACAACATTGCTGAGTATTTCCTGGGTACTCCTATGAATATTGATGAGTATCTGGAATCTCTCTGACAAGTTTCCTAGATTACTCCAATGTCAGAGGAAATTTTTTAAAATCCCTCTTCTTCAAACCATTGCATAGACGATATCGCACTGAAACTGGCTCCTCCCATCTTATGAGGGTGTTTGATTTGAACTGATTTTTTAAATTAAGATTCTTAAAAATATAATTGAGAAACCTGTGTAGGTCAGCCCAGTGAAGCCCAAAAATATTTTAAATTCATTAAAATCTATGCAAAATTGGCAATACCTAAGAAACAACAGATGACAGGAAGTTGCTAGTGCTAATCCCGTAACATTTATATACTCACTTGTGGTGAGACTATTGCCTTTTAAGTTCCATAACATCTTTAGGTACTTAAATGTCAGTTAATCACAGATGCTTCATAGATTTTATTTGGAGGGAATGCATTAATGTGGCTTTTGATATTTTTACCCCCATAGGACATTTGGTTGGCTTCTGTCCCTTGAATGTTGCCAAGACATATTTTGACGCTTTCGCTTTTAATGCTTCAGTTGTTGAAATCATCACTTGGCATGCAAATGTTATTTGTGGGGCCAACATAAAAAGCTGCTACCCTTCCTTTATGGCACTTTAAAAACTGATAGATGAATAATATTTGATGTCACTTAGATATGACACATAATTCTGGAAAATGATTTTGCTTCTCACAATTTTTAAGAATTTATCTGCAGCAGGCAAAAATGGGAAACTCTAACATTATACTACAAGACATTTTGTTGTATATTTCTTCTGATTTTAAAATGTTCCTTGCTTTTATAGAAAACAATCAACATTTTCCCATCCACTTCTAAAAGCACTAAGACTAAGGACAAAATCTTAGTAACATTTAAAATAACAAAGTCAAAGAGTGGCAAACTAGATGTTTTAACATTAAATTTAGTTAAAATTCTAGTCATATTGGTTAGGTGACAAAATATGTGGGTGATTTATTTTTTAACAGTGATTTGAACAGATACCTTGGCATTTTAGGAACTCCAGTACAGAGTGTCATGGCACCAATAAACACTAATAATTTTTGACTATTAAACCTCTGGTTAGCCAGGAAAAAGAGATGTTCTTTACTCATTAAGGGAACACCCAGTCAGAATTCATAGGATCTAACCTTCCAAGTCTATATCCTATCTGGGACAGCAAAGTGTTATTTTGCATGACTAATGACTGACTACAGTAAGTACTAAAATATATATCTGGCAGTAAAAGTTGTCTTTCTGATCTCACCACATGGGTCTTAAAAGTAAAAAAGACTAATTAATGAGCTGTTGGGAGCATTTTAAGAGTTTATACATATAGAAGCAGTGGGAGAATATGGTGTTGTGTAGTCGTGTAGTATGTATTTAGCAGAAGCTTTTTAGTTAGGTTCAACTAATGGAAAGGGTGTGAACATTTTTGCCTAAGCAAATCCTGCAAAAGCTAACAAAGCATATCTACAAAAATCATTTATTTAACATGTCTACCCTCAGCACTGCATGAATCAGAAGGTATGTGGATGAAAATCCTTACAAGCCAATTCTTCAAATAGTATGCTTACAATATGGTATAGAAGCAATATTGAGTCCAAAGTAAGATATTGCACTGGCTTTGTACCAATCATCCTAGCAGGTCATCAAGTCTTCCAGGAGTTCAGAGAAGAGAAAACTTCCTTTCAATTTGGCCTAATTAGAAAAAAAAAATATTCATGGAAAGTTTGGGACTTGAAAATGGCACATACCAGATCGTGCTGAGTTATTTTTCTACCTCTCTGGCTGGGTTCTTTTTTTGTTGTTGTTGTTTGTTTGTTTGTTTAGTTTTCTAGCTTCTCCTTTTTCAGGTGCCCACATTACATGTTGGAGTTCCTTAAGGTCTTTACTCTTTTCTTCTTCTTACTTTCTCCTGAAATAGGCTCATCAAAGTCTATAGCTTCCATTAGCATCTGTACATTAATGACATCCCAATGTGTATCTGCAGATTAAGCCTCTCCTCAGATTCTGGTGTACAACTGCCTCTACTTAGATGTCTCAACTGCACCTCAATGAAACAACTCCAAGACTGAATATGTGATATTTCCTCTCAAGTCTTATCCTTATTAGCAATTTCTGGCTTAAAAATGATGCCACCATCCAATCAGATGCTCAAGTCAAAAACCATAGAATCATCCTTAATCCATCTCTCTTATTCATGCCCCGTATTCAATGTATCATCAAATTTTGTCCATTTTACCGCTAAAGAAATTCTAGTCTTTATTCTTAGTATCATGACCTTAGCCTACTGCGGTATCCTTTCAGGTGGTTTTCCTGTATAAACAGTGACACCCACTCTCAACAATCCTTTATTTATTTTCCATGATGAAACTAAAATAAGTTTGTGCTTTTCAAAATCCACTCTGAAGTGAAAGAAGCTAATCTGAAAAGGCTACATACTGAATGATTCCAATTATATGACATTCTGGAAAAGGACCTTGAAGACAATATAAAGTTCAGTTGTTGCCAACAGGTAGGGAAAAGGGAGGGGATGAATGAGCAGAGCACAGGGAGTATTTAGGTCAGTAAAACTGTTCTGCGTGATACTATAAAGGTGGATACCTGTCTTACACATTTGACAACACTCAGACATGTACAAGAGTAGACCATAATGTAGTAATGCAAACTATGAACTAGGATGATAATGGTGTGCCAGTTTTGGTTCATCAGTTACCACAAATGTATCGCTCTGGTACCAAATTTTGATAATGGGGGAGGCTGTGTATAGGTAGTGGTAAGATGTATATGAGAATCCTACTTTCTTACTTGATATTGCTATGAATCTAAAACTACTTTAAAAAAAATAAAGTAGCTCATGCCTGTAATCCTAGCACTTTGGGAGGCCAAAACAGGTAGATTGCTTGCGCCTGGGAGTTTGAGACAAGTCTAGGGAACATGGTGAAACCCCATCTCTACAAAAAAATAGTACAAAAAATTAGCCAGACATGGTGGTGTACACCTGCAGAACCAGCTACTCAGGAGGCTGAGGTGGGAGGATCACCTGAGCCTGGGAGGTTGAGGCTGCAGTGATCTATGATCATGCTGGCACACTCCAGCCTGGGTGACAGAGTGAGATCTTGTCTCAAACAAACAAACATACAAACAAACATAAAACCTCAATATTAAATCTATTCTGATTTTGCATTCCTTCTCAACTACTGAAAATGCTTTATAGCCTTCCCAAGGCTGCTAAAATGAGCTGGAAGTTCCTGACACAATACCTATCCACCTGTATAGCTCCATCTTCTCCATTCTCACTCTTTGTTCTCTGCTTTCCAGCCACACTGGTCTCTTTGAGGTATGAATGGTACCTGTGAAATCCTTCCTCAGGGTTTTTGCCCCATCCCCGTCTCCTTGCCTAATATCTACTCATCCTTCAGATCTGCTTATTGTTATTTCCTGAAGAAAAAGTTTTTGAGACCCATACCTTTCTGCCAAATTGGTTGCTTTTGCTGTATCTTTCATATAAAAAAATTATTCCCCAGAGTCCTTATCACTTTTGTATTTATTTAGAGTAGATGTTCATAATTATTTATTAATATCTGTCTCCACTACTAGACTGTAAGCATCTTGAAGCAATATGCTGACTATTTTTTATTACCTGTGAACCCAGTGAATGGTTGCAACACAGGAGGCATTTAGCAAATATTCATTGAATGAATGAATAGAAGAAAGAATAAGGACTGCCAGATGTGCTGTTGGTTAAAAGTTTGCTCAATGTTTTCTCTAGCTATTAGGGCTTTGGAGTCACTGAAATAACTATTAATCTTTCAGAAAAGAACATTTGAGTATGCATTTTAAAAAGTCCTGTCACTATATATATATATATATATATATACACACACACACATATAAAACACTGAGCATCTGTATTTCATGTGGTTACTCAACTCTATGGGGTTTTGTGATTTCAGGTAGATACCAGCTTTGTGAACTTAAGGCGAGCAATATGAATGTAGTTCCTTAACAGTGGGGATTATCTGATGTCAGGGCCTCTCTCCATATTCAGTCTCTTGCAAGTCCTGGAAAATCATCTCTGGATGGGTGGCCACTAGAGGAATTTCATTGTTCACTAACAGACTCAGAAATAAAGTTATTATTTAGCCATAGGGCAGCCTTGGATTCCTCTGGAAGGTATGCTTATGGCAGCCAGAGTTAAGACTAAATCGCCGTGAGTCTGCCTGTTTGCAGAGGCTTGTTTACATGTGGTATCCACTACACATTTTCTCTGACTTCATTAATAAACAATTGAGACCAAGAAACCATTTCCTTACTTTCCGGGTAAGCTGAGCAATTTATCTTAATTACTGTCAACCTTTAGTGACTGCCATGGGGATTCTAAGCATTCACTTCAGTAGCAATGATGTAAATTACTTAAGAATTTTCAATAGGCAGCCATGGATTTTTGGCTTCTCTTCCATGTACTTTTTCCCCCAACTGAAATTATATGTGTTTGTATATCTATATCTACATGTTGAATGTGTATATATATGATAAATATGTATATTCTAAATGAATGCCTTTCCTTATTACAGTCGATCCTTTCCCATGGTACCGTGGCAGACTGTGCTGTTGTTGGCAAGGAAGATCCCTTAAAAGGTCATGTCCCCTTAGCACTCTGTGTATTGAGAAAAGGTGAGAGATCTTTGTTCTCTCTGATTGCTTGGGACCTGAATAATTAACTAAGGTTAATTCAGTGCTTACCATCTGAACTTTCTCTCTAGATATAAATGCAACAGAGGAACAAGTTTTAGAAGAAATTGTGAAACATGTGAGACAGAACATTGGCCCTGTGGCTGCTTTTCGAAATGCAGTGTTTGTCAAACAGCTACCCAAAACCAGATCTGGCAAGATCCCCCGATCAGCTTTATCTGCCATTGTCAATGGCAAGCCATACAAGGTAAATTATCAAAGATATTTAATCCTGGGTTCTATAACATTTTTCTTCATTTATTTGGCATCAGCAAAGCTTTTAAAAATTGTTCTCAAATATGAATTGCATCCCTAAACACATAATAGTACTATTTTTTAATGGTAAGGGAGAGATTATATAGCCATTCCTTCTGTAGGAATGAGGGTTTTGGAAAGAAACTTGATTAAGAACACATGCTTTGATGATAAGAACCAATGTGTGAAAATTTTTTAAATTTATTTTCATTTAGAGATAAGAGTCTTGCTTTATTGCGCAGGCTGTAGGGCAATGGCACACTCATAGCTCACTACACTCTCAAAGTTCTGGTCTAAAGAGATCCTCTCACATCAGCCTCAAGAGTAGCTGGGACTACAGGTGCATGAAACTGTGCCCGGTTAATTTTTTTTTTTTTGTATTTGTAGAGGTAGTATTCTCACTCTGTTGCCCAGGGTGGTCTTGAATTCCTGCTCAAGTGATTTGATTGTCTCAACCTCCCAAAGTGCTGGGATTACAGACCTGAGCCACTACTGCCCGCCAAAATATTTTTTCTCTTAGTAATTGTCAGTGAAATTCAAACACATTTTTGGAAACTCAATCCTATTGAATTAAAAGGTACACTTTCCTTATTATAGTAATTAATGGCAATTAGTGAATGAGAAAGCAAAATTCTTGAGGCTGGCAGCAGTAGATGTTTAAAATGCTCTAATTGATAAATGCTAATTTTGTAATTGTTTTAGGAAATCTTAGGTCGATTCAATCATACGTTTTCTTTTAATTCGTGTGTACATTATGGGTGAAAAGATATATCTATTTTTATCATTAAGATTAAGACAACAGTAAGGAGTAGTTACATGAACACATGACAAAAAAGAAAAATTCTTTCTATACAAATATATAGAAGATGATTCCAACTCTAGAGAAAATACCATCTAGGTCCAATAGTTTTGCTAACTGAACTGTTTATTCTTTTACTCTGGAAAGCTATAGATGAGTATTAATATATTAGGTTCAGAGTTCCCTGTTTTTAAATTTTCCATATGAATATTACAAGACAATGGGGAAAACCACATTGCATATAATTGTTTAATTATAGGAAGAGCAGAAGAAATTCAAGGAAGAGTATTCACCTGACCCTAATTTTTTTTTCCAGATAACTTCTACAATCGAAGACCCCAGCATTTTTGGCCATGTAGAAGAAATGCTGAAACAAACATAATGAGTTTGTTTTATTCCTATTTTGAGTTGATTTAATTTCTTAATTGAAATTAAATTATTTGAGTTGTTTCTCAGAAATAAATATTTCAGTAGAAATTACTGCAAACTGAAACGCGAATTATAAAACTTGGCCTAAACAAATCTAATGAAAACTTGTGAAAGACCTGTGCCTTTTGGTTGATTTGACCCTGTTAGCATTGTTATTAGTTATCTATAACATGGCTCATTATACGTCATCTACTGCTTTAGGAAAAATGTATCTAGTGTATTATTTTTAAAATTGTACCTCCCAAGAAAAACACTTTAATTGAAAGCAACACTAATATAGAGACACTTTCCGAAACCAAGAATATGTAGTTTTGAGCCATAGTCTAAAACTTGATTTGAAGTCAGAAAATAATTAAAATTTTTCTAGTAGAAATTTTAGAAATTTTCTAGTATTCTTTAGATGCTCACATTGTTTTAAATAAAATCTATGAAATGGGAAGTTTAGGTAATCATCTAGACAGATGAAATTATTATCTAGGTAGGAGGACTTTTCTTTCTACACATTTTCTGAGGGAAAGCAGAACACCAGGGTTACGGCTATACCTTCAGGTCTTTTGTTTCTTAGGCAAGGAAAACCACATGTCTGACCTGGCACAGTGGTTCAGCTTGCAATCCCAGCACTTTAGGAGGCTGAGGCAGGCGGATCATTTGAGGTCAGCAGTTTGAGACCAGCCTGGCCAACATGGTGAAACCCTGTAACTACTGAAAATACAAAAATTAGTCAGGCGTGGTGGCAGGAGGCTGAGGCAAGGAGAATCACCTGAACTCAAGTGGCGGAGGTTGCGGTGAGCCAACTTCCACCACTGAACTCCAGTCTGGGTGACAGAGTGAAACTCCATCTCAAAACATCAACAACAACAACAATAACAACAAAAAACCACATGCCTGGCAGAGAATCAAGAGATCATTTAGTCTCTCAATCTCTTCATGGAGATGAGGGCTCCTGGGAGCCCCTCCTCATGTCTCAGGTTCTTAGTTAACTGTGTATATGCAAACGATTCCAGATTCCTGTGGAAACAAGGAATCGATGTACAAATGGGGTAGGATGGCAAGGAAACTCTTAAGAAAGAAACATCAAGGTTTTTACATTAGGTTAAAGACCAAGAAGGTTTCTAGGCAGGTAGTGTAATGTCTAGATGATTTTGAAGTGAATTTAAGCCACTAGGTTTGAGGGACAAAGGACAGTAGAAAATGGTGAAGACTGCAGATCACCTGCTCCACCTCAAGGAGCAGTGGACCCAGCAGAACACGGCCCAAAAAGGAGACAGGTCTCCTGCTGCAAGAGCCTCTGTTTTTTAAAGAGAAAACAAAGAATCCTGATTTTTCTGTGATAGCTCTAATTTTAAAATAGTAAGTCATTAAAAAATTGTAATGTCCAAAAGCATCTTTCCATTTAACTTCTAAAATTCTCTTAATTTTTAAAAAATGATTGTAAAGTGACTTTTTGTTAAGCTTGTAGGAATGGGCCAGTTAACTAGAGTAGACAGATGTAGGAAATGAAATATTTGATTTATTTAGGGATCTATATGACATCAGTTATCAAAGAATACATTTTAACCCAAAAGTATACCATGCTCATTGTATCTTTGATTGTTCTTCAAGTATTTCTCACTCTTTTAATCTATCAGGAACATTACTATCAAGAGCAGATTGTTGTAACATAATACTCTGGGTACATGAAATGTATGTGAGAGATAAATAGATAATAGAAGGCTTATTGTTATAAAAATGACCTACAACTTATATAAAAAAATTCTGAAAATCTTAACTTTTTTTGGACTGAAGGCTGCAAAACAAATGGCTTCTCAAAGTAAATTCCTATTTACTTAGAAATTGCTTTCTTGATTGTTACACCTGGAAAAATACGTTCGTCTACTTTTTCCTTTTAATTATGTTAGTAGCCTGAATTAAACCAGCTACATAGACACTCTCTAATTTGAAGCCGTTGGGATCCTTGAATCGCCTCTTTCATTGGTACATTTTATCCATTGTCATAACTGTGGTCTTCATTAATAACTCAGTTTAATGTCTTAGAAGTAGAATATGTTTCCTTATTTTTTTCAAATAAAAATCAGTTAATTTGAAATGGCAAATTATTTAGCTGAATGTGTATCATTGTTCATTTGCAAGGTTTAAACTCAGGCAGATCCCAGAATTATATAAAGGGCACATCTTTGCTCCTCTTGCACATTTTTTTCTGGTAATCAAATCTGAAGGGACACCTCAGCAAGCAGACTTGGGTTATTTTCCAGTTGGATGGGAATGGAAAGCAGTGTTTGAGACTAGGGAAGTGGCTATTTCCTGTGTCTGATTGGGGAATTGCAAGGTCAAAGAATGTTGTTACTTTTATGTGATGAAAAAACAGGGCAAGAAAGATACACTTGAATCATCAGACTGCTTAAAATTTGGGAGAAAAAAATATTATTCTATTTTACTACTAACCATAAATCACTTTTGCTAGATAGTACTTAAAATATTCTGAATTAAATGTATCTTTAAAAACAACAATATAATGTTACTAAAAAATGCAGCCATACTTAAACTTGCTAGAATAAATTCTGTGAGGTCTTCGTTCGGTATTTTCATAGGATTTCTTACTGTAAGTCATTGGAAAATGAAAATATAAAGTACTTTCAAAAGTTATAGTAAAGTATTTTCCAATTCATTGAATTACTTTTCTTGTCAAAATATATTAAACATATGTAAATGAGACCTCTCCTACATTTAAAAACCAGTTTTGTTTATATAAAATTGTATTTGAAATGTCTTGAACATTAAAAATGTGAAAATTTATAATGTTGATGATCAAAAGATAACACATTGAGATTCTGAGCTTAATCCATTCAATGGATTTTAGAATGTGGTAGAAGTTATCTTATAAATTAAATCATATTTTATGTTTTTTTGAGGGAAATAGCTGGATCTTTTGCATCACTATATGTTTTTAGTGATTGAGTGGTATATAATAGTAGATACAAATCTAGTTATGGCATTATAATGTTGTAATTCCTATATTCTATTTCATTTCTGTGAATCAAGGTGCCCATGTTTAGATGAGCTTAGAAAGCTCTTTCTCATTGTTCCTACTCAGGTCACATTTTTTAGAAAAATTTAAGATCACTCCCATAAGCAAGTTTAGATCTCCCTCTTGTGGGCAGACTCAATTTTGAAGCTAAATATTTGAGTCACCCAAAGAAGACATTTCCTGATAGCTTAAGTAAATTGTCGAGCCTTATGTGACTAGAAAACAAAGCTTAAACAGAGAACTGGAAGTATTTTTGTTTTTATTGACAATGGAAAGGGTTTCTGTTACCATTACCTTTTGACTGAATCTGTTAAATAAAAATAGACATCAAAACAAATGTAATGTACGTGCAAACATAGCAAATTAAAATACAGAAAAGAAATTACTAATGACAGATCTTGCGCTTAATAAGATCAAGCAGCAGAAAATCAGCAGTTAGATAAATGGTATTATTAAATAGGCTTTACTTTGAATCTCCCATATAAACAAAGAATAAACAACAGTAACACCACCAAATAAAGCCACAGGGAAGAGATTACTCTTCTATACTTTTATACACTATATATGTTAATCATTCTGTCTTTCATTATTTCCTCTGATAAAACTGACTTCAGGGAAGTCACAACAAGGCCATCTCGGCTAAAAGCTTATAACATTAGACATGAGTCTGGCTAATGCCCTGTTACATTGACAAAAGGGAAAGGTATATTGGGTTTTGTTTTCTCTAGTGGAAATGAGCCTCAGACTCCGCAGTGGTTGACATTCGCTGTCCAGTACTGGCTGGCAGTTCAAGATATTTGAATGAACATGTGGTTCTTAGTAAAGAAGTTTTTTGTTTTTTTTTTTCTTGGTCCACAGGTAACAAGAGAAGATTATGGTTTTTTAATATAAATTTTTAAATAATTGCTTTTGACTCTTGTAAACAGCTTGGCTTTGTTTTGTATTGAAAAGGAGATCAAGCCATCACAGTGCTATTTCTAAAGATATAGGACATCCCTGATTGCCTTTAAAGCTCTATTTTTGGCTCCGGTTCCAGGTTAAATCATTCTTTTTCACATGATCAGAGGCAGGTTGTTCAGCTTTAAGTATTGACAGACTTGAAGGAGAAACATGTTGAAGCATGAAACATGCTTCAAGGAAACATATTGATTTGACTATTAACAATTCAAAAACTGTAAAAATGGTGGAATGGTAAAATACAAACAGTACTTGGAATTGTCAAATGTTTGCACTCGAGACTCCATGAACCATATATTTTATTTTTTAAAAAATCATATTTATATCCATTTACATAAGACTTACACATTTAAAAAGAAATGCACAGTAATACATAAATGCCTAGTATATTACAATAAAACATGAAAAACAACTGGCTTCATTTCATAAAAGCATCTGTTGTACAGAGTTTATGATGTAGATGATGTTTATTATTCAAATGACTTAAGCATTTTATTACAATTGTAGTAAACTAATCAAATGTAATATCTGACTCCCCCCAAAAATCACATTTTTCAGCTTTTAATAAGTCATGACGTCATTATTTCCTTAGAATTCAGATTTCACAAAGGTTTTCACTGCTCGTCTTCTTAGATGGTAGTGCACTTTAGGTAGAGTAGACTGAAAAGACGCCATCTAAAATATACAATGGAGAGCATTAGTTCACTGAAAAGTCCCAGACTGGGAAATCTCATTCTACTTCTCTGTGGTGTACCTCCATGCAGCCTGCTTACTCCTGTCCTAAAAGATTATGGGAAGGAAATCATCTAGGATGTAGCCAACAGCCATATGTAATTAACATTTGCTCTTCTCCAATTTGGTGCAGGGGAGCTTAACAAATAATAGAATTTGCTCAAATTTGTGGAAAGTATGGCAGTAATGTAAACAAAGGTAGTTATGCAAGATGTTAGCATGCCTTCTGAAAAATTTACAACTTGCTAATTAACAAATTGGGTTGAATTGACCTATTTCATAATATAGATTTATATTCTAGTTCATATATTTTAGAGTTCTTAAAAAAGTACCTTTATTTGTTACAAAAACATAATGATACTAAGTCACCTATTTTAAACGGTTTGTGTCAGTAGTATGGCATTGCTGATTCTTTTCAGCCATAATATACTTAGAAAAACCTCACAATTGCTATTACTGACATGAAAGAAACAGCAAGCAGTATGCTCTGGATTATTTTAATAACAAAAGTGTTATTGTTTCACCAAAACAAAAAATGGTTGTCCTAGATTGAATTATTGTAAATGAATACTGTTATCCCAGATAATGGTAAAAACTAGGAAATATGAACTAGAATGCCATGCACGAAAAACAGATTGCAAATAGTTAGAGGAACTCTACCCATCAGTTAAGAGCTAAGAAGCAAGCACTATTGAACATATTAAATAGTCATTTGTAAATTAGTGAAGTGTTCATTTCCTGAAGAAAGTATGCTGCTATGTGTAGAATCTATTATAAACAGTATTTTGGGAGGCCTCTTATTCAGACAAATTATTATACACTTTAAATCATGCCTAATTAGATGCCAAATTATATACCATAATTAAAATTTTAATGTAAGGGTTCTACATTCTGAAATTAAATATCTTATCAGGATGCTTTTTGTTTTATCACTTCAAATAGTGATCCAAATAAGGCAGCTTATCTGCTCCCATCTTAAGCCCAAAAGACCAACAATAAATTGTGTGGATCTTTTAGTTCAAGGCAACGAAAAACAGCACAAGGCAAGCTATTCCTCTGCCTATAACTGGTTTCTCTTATCCCTGTGCACACTTATTGTTCTAAATATCGCCGTAAAAAGTATTTTTCCAAAATATTAATTCATCAAAAGTGGTTAAATATTTTGGTAAAGCATAGTTTTAGGTTGAAAAAAATTATGAACATTTGACATTTATAAATCTAGGAAACCACGGTTTTACTATTAAGACTGTTTTTCAAGAAAATCTCATTTTTATATGGATTTTAAAGTAGCTTTCATTAATTAGTATTTCCTTAAAATCAAACGCCTGGTATTTAGGGTTACACAGGAAGGTTTTGTGCTGGTCCTATCCTCCACTCTTATAAAGTAACTTTATTTTGTTCCTATAAGTCTCAAATACTTAAAATTTATATTTGTTTTTAGCAAATATAAATTTGTAATTATAATTTACATTGTAAATTTAAACGTGTAAATCAGATTGATAAGATACAATGTAATCAAGGTTTAAATTTTTTGCAGTTTCTACTCTTCATTTCTTTCGAGATGGAGTCTCGCTCTGTCACCCAAGCTTGAGTGAAGTGGCATGATCTCCGCTCACTGCAACTTCTGCCTCCCAGGTTCAAGTGACTCTCTTGCCTCAGCCTCCCAAGTATCTGGGATTATGGGAGTGCACCACAATGCCTGGCTACTTTTTATATTTTTAGTAGAGACGAAGTTTCACCACATTGGCCAGGCTGGTCTGTAACTCCTGACCTGAAGTGATCCACCTGCCTCGGCAAGTTTCTACTTTTTAATATGAAACCATCTCTAAGTCATTTTCCTGTCTGTTGCTGTTTGACTCTGTTAACTTGCTTAAATCCCTATCTGCTTACCTTGGCTTCCTTATATAAAATATACACTTAAATATATAGGATTTTTTAAAGTGTTGAATTATTATCAATAAAATGTTAAGTGAATCAATAGGAAATGGTACTAAAAAGTAGAAAACAGTGTAGTGGCAACCCATTGATGTGTAATAATAGAGTGACAGGCCTCCAACAGGCAGACCTTAAACCATAGCAGACAGATGGTGATAGGAAATGCTAGACTAAGTGTTACAATACAAAGATTTCTTTTTTCCCTGAAGCAATTCAAAAGGGTTATCTCACTTCTGTACTGCTAGGGCATACCAAAGAATATAGTGTATATTTATTAGTCTATGTAGGTTCCATTTTTTTGTCTTTTTTTTTTTTTTGTCAGCCAAAGGGAAACTACTCACAGCAGGTCAGTGCTGCCTCCTTTGAGTGGCTTGTCAACATGAGTATGTGCGAACAGTGGAGTTGTCTAACCTCTGCAGTCTTGATGAAGCAACTGCAAATGGA